GGTACTCATGCATATATACTCCAAATCCTGATAGGACAGAGAGATAGAGAAGAAATTGTGGCATGACCATCTCCCATTGGGGGCGGCTTTCTCTTTCTTTCTCTCTCTATTTCTCTTTGTCTCTTTGACAAGTGTACACAACCTTGGCAGTTAAATATATACAAATATGTTTCCATCTTGAGCTCTCTTAGTCCATAACATTTTTGTCCTCTCTGAACAATTTGTTGGGTTCCTTTATATATCTTAATGTTGGCAGAGTTGTTATATCATCTCTATTTGTCATTTTAACCCGTGAGTTACAGATATACATACATATATATATGTGTGTGTGTGTGTGTACATACATATATGTATTTAATATAAATATGAATACATACATATAAATTAAATTGTCAGCCTTAAATAAATATATGCGTGTACATATATATGTGTGTGTGTGTATATATAAATATATGTATGTGTACATATATATATTTATTTAAGACTGACAGTTTAATTTTTTTTTTTGGAAGATTTTTTTTTTTTTTGGAGAGGTTTTTCGCTATAGGGCATGTGTGCTCGCCAGACAGACAGAGAGAGACATAGAGACAGAAAGTGAGAAATCACCCCCCAGAGGGGATGGTCATGCTGCAATCCCTTCTCCTCCATTCTCCTCTTGGAATCTTGGGCACGCACGCACATGCGCCTGGCGTGAGTTTTAAGCCACCGGGTCTGGGACACGAACCGCGGTCAACTACATGGGAGTCCAGCGACATAGCCATTACGCTAACTGCTGGTTCCCAGACTAACAGTTTAATTAAGACCATGCTAAAACATATATATATGGGGTGAGTACTAAAACATAAACAATAGATTTTAAGGTGAATGGGTTTCCGATTCAATAATACAAAAAGGATGGAAGGAACCACTTTCTACACAAACCATGATGAGAAATTTTTGTAGTACAGTTAAAAAAAAAAAAAAGAAAGAAGGAAAAGGAAAAGAGAAAATCCTGTATTTTTCCACAGTATTTCTTAATATCAAATTATGTGACATTTCTATCATTAAGATCAGCATAATTATTTTATATTTAGGCTTTTAGATGGAATTTTAGAAAATACCTAGCAAGAAAATTGTTCTAAAAGCACTTCCTTTTAAGTTCTTTGGTATAAATTGGTCATTTTGATAGCAATCAACCCAGAAAGTGGACTTTAATGTCCACATGGCAACAAAAATGTGAAGAGGAGTATAGCTGCTTAGAAAACCACTACTAAGGCATTAGTTATATTTTGACCTTTTGGAAAACAACTCTAAAACTTTGCTTTTGTTTCCATGGTGAAGACATCCATGTCATCTATAAGAACATCTCTCACTCGGTTTATAGTACAGAAATGTTTCAATACATAAACTTCTTTTCTTGATTATTAGAGTAACCATTCTTTCTTTAAAGCAGAAGAGGCAAGTTTCAGCTTGAAAAAAGTAATTTTAAGTTTCGTAAAGTTCTGTCCTTTGTGCTATCTAGGATTCAGTGAGTGCCAACATCTAATGCAATGCCAGTTTGCAGAATTTAAAGATTAAGCTATTATTTCAGGAAATACTTTTCCTCTTGAAGCATTTTTTTTTAAAAATTTCCTTATCCCAGTTTCTCTGATCCTGTCACCACTTCGTGTTCTCGAAGTTCCTGTTGTAGTTCTTTTTCCCGGTCCACAGAGCCCTCTAGTGCGGCTGTCTCCTCTTCCTTTTTGTCAAGCCCTAGTTGCTCCATTTCTTTCCTCAGATCTTCCTTATTTAAGCTACAGGCATCGAAAGCATCACTGACAAAGTCAGAAACACTCAGGTTGGTGGAAATTGCTTCCTCATCCTCTAGAGTTTTAAGCTGAAATTTGATCATGGCAGGGAATGTTCTGGGCTGTCCTGCCTCTGGCCATGGCAGGTGCTCTTCTCTGCTTCCTCAGGTCCTCCTTGCCCGCAGCCTGCTGTGGGGCCAGGGCAGTGAGCAGGCCCACTGCTTCATCTGGGAGACGCTGTACAAGTCGTTCCTCCAAAACACTTTCCTTCATGGGCTTAGGAATGAGGGTGAATCTCATTCTGCTCAGCAGCTCATCTTCTTGTAGCATAACCAGGGTGACAGGGTACATCTGATCAAAGTTGAAATTAAACTGCACCCCGGCCGGATGGTCCCGAGGGAAATCCTCCTGTCAGCTGATAAGACCAAGGTTTGCTGTTGCATAGTTTCATCATCATTACTGTCAACGCGCGGGGGCACAGCTACTTCAGTTTTCTTCGTATTTTGCTCCTCAACAAATACTTTCTGTTCCTTCGGGAAAATCTCCTATAATTGTCTTATCCATGATGTTGTCTATTTTTCCTTCTACAGATTTCTTTAACATTTGTGCTGCTTCAGCAACTGATTGTGATCTTTTTGGTGGCCTCAGTCGCAAGGTTAAAGGGAGAGTTGCAGAGACCCGAGGCCTGGTGGAGCAGGTCCTCGTGCCCTGCGAGCTGCTGCTCCTCTGTGGACTCTGCAGCTATCTGGGAGGGCTGTTCGCCGGCAGCGTCTCCCTCCAGCTGCCCACAGTCTCCCGCCGGTTGCTGCAATCCAAACCAACTGCTCAAACCCGAAATACCCCACTGCGGGGCCGGCCAGCGGTCAGAGTCATGGGAGACCTGGGAGACCTGGGTAGGTGCAGAGCATTCCGGGCTCTACGCCGCGGGTCGTCCAAGGAGACTGTTGTCAACCTGCTATATTATTATATTACATAACCTCCATGTTTCCTAGAAGACTGTATTGCCTGTCTTCTCAAGCTCTTTTTTTTTTTTTGACATTGATTGGTTTGATTCTCAATTTCACCATTTTTGTTAGAGATGATAGGGAGTGACTTTTTCCCCTTTCAAAATAGATAGACCACAGTTGCTTCCCTAGGGAATTTTGTGGAGGCAGAGGTTTAAAAATAAGGATAACATGTCCTTTGCTTGCATTTTTGTCTTTTAGACCAAGGTCACCTGGCTGACAGTCCTGGTCTCTTAGGATAGCTTTTCTTGTTCCAGTACTTTAAAAATCACAGAAACAGGTTTTAGTTGTTGTTTAGTTCATTGTTCCCTTTCATGTGTCTTGTTGAATTGTAGTGTCAGATTACTGATTGAGTCCTAATCGTCTATGAGTACTGATTTAGTCCTGATCATCTGTGAGTCTTTGTGGGAAATACCAGAAATAATCCAGATTCTGCCCTCTGTTTCTTAAAATGCTATGTCTCAAGCAGACATTGTACTGAAATTGGAGCCGTGGGTGGGTAGTTGCAAGTGACACCTCTGGCTTTGTCAACATGTTCTGAATTCCACATAATGAGTCTAGTGATTATTTTAGAGTAAACTAAATTTTAAATGAGTCAAGTAATTTCTCCATCTCTTCTTTTGCTCTCTTTTATTTCTTTCATCCTAAATGGAAATAAACAATGTAAAACATTACATGAAGTTTCAGGGAAACGTTATTCATAGTTTTCAACTCCCCGAAACAACTAATTTTTTTTTTTCATTTTATTTGTTATTTATTTATTTATTTTTGACAAATCAAAATAGCAAGTTTGGATGACTGGAAAATAACATTTTTATTTCTATTCTAGAAAGATGATGAAAATGGTATATAATGAATAAAGGCAGAAAAAAAATAGAACTAATCAATATAAAATAATAATTTTTAGAACATAGAAAAGGGATTCAACTCTGCCCTTGCTGAAGTTGGACTATTTTTAGGAAAGTGATCAGCATCTTATTTTAGTTGACAAATGCTTCAAAGGCGGGTTCACCAACCCCCCGTGTAGCCGTGTAATACACACATAACCTGATTGATGCAGCTAGACCGTGCGCCATGACTCGTCATATACGATGTTAAAATCTACTGTGCCTTCAACCACTGGTGCTCGCTGAGCTTCCATTATTCACCACTGATCTGATGAAAGATAATAGCTTTGCAGAGAGGAGCGAAGTAGCAACAATAACACAAGCACACACACACGTAATATTTATATACACATATGTGCAAATATTATAAATCCATAAATATTGTATACGATTTTTGTTCAAAATTAGGACAGTGGTAAGAGACACTTTGGTAGATTAGGTAGGAAATGTTCAAGTAAATAGTTTAAATGAGACTCATGCTATCCTGTTATATTGTTTTATTTTAATTGTACACTGATTTTCCCCTCTTTCATAAGAACTGAATGAGGAATTAGGAAATAGGATTCTAGTTTCAGCCTTACCACTTTCTACACGTCTGACACATTTTAGACAAGTTGCTTTATTTTTTTAGCCCTTAGTTTCTTGATCTCCCAAAGGAAAGAGTTCTTAAATTGATTCTGTAAGATACAGCAGAGATAGGACCAGCAGTTGGTGTAATGGCTATGGTGCTGAACTCCCATGTAGTCAACCACGGTTCAAGTCCCAGACTCAGTGGCTTAAACTCATGTCAGGCGTGTGTGTGAGTGTGCCCAAGATCCTGAGAAGAGACTAGAGGAGAAGGGATTGTGGCATGGCCATACCCCCTGGGGGGTGATTTCTCACTTTCCATCTCTCTGTCTCTTTCTGTCTTTCTGGCGAGTGCATGCGCTCTATACCAAAAATCTCTCCCAATAAAAAACGGATACAGCAGAGATGCTTTAATGGCCACTCTGGAAGATGAAGGGAGGCTTCCTACCAACCCATCCCCTTCAAACAGAGCAGCTTTATTTATACTTATAACTGGAAAAAAATAGAACTAATCAATATAAACTAATAATAATTAACAGAAGGAGTCTATCACTTTTTAATAGTTTGAAAATCACTGAGCTAGATGTTCTATAAGGGCCTATTCAGGTCAGAAGCAATGCCCACATCTATATCATAGGGAGAACAATATTTTCTTTTCACAGGCTTACATTGTTTTTTTTTTTCCTCCCCAGATGAAAGTTTTCTTGTTCTATATCAGATTTAAAAAATAATAATGATGATACACTTATAAAAGCTAACATATCTGTGTGTTTCAGGCTTGCGAGCTCATGGGAAAGTGACATCAGTGTCCACTCACTAACGCTGCCCTCAGCAACCTGCTTGGAGCTGCTGTTGATATTAGCAAGAAATAACACCATGCTGCCTCCATCCCTTCGCTATATGAATTCCTTTCAGGTCAGGAACTGTTCTTTTATAAGGGTGTAATTTCTCAGTTTTACTTGAAATTGTTTTTCAAGAATCCTATCTTTAATAGGAGATAGCCTATGGATATCCACAGTTTCCAATGGTACTAATAACAAGCAGAATGTCTGTATCATCTTATCTCTTTAAATAAATGAACAAACAAAGGTTCAAAATTGATTAAGCAGTTGTCTAGTAGTGGCAGAACTCACAGCTCTCAACCTCCAGAGCTTGTTCTGTTACCCTTATCTTTCTTGTCTCTGAGAGAAATGGCAAGAAGATCTAGCTTGTGAATGCCATTTCCCTTCTTCCACATTTGCCCTGAAGTAAAAATTTTCAGCCATTATTAGTTACGTTGCTACTGTTAGCTTGATGTCAGATTGCTAAATAGATATTTAACAGTGATGGTGTTCTACCAACTCTAGCACCATTTTTCTCTCTTAACCCCTTCTACATCACTTCCCCACTCCCCTGGATATATTTGTGTTCCTAATACAACTCAATGCTACAAATGAAGACTGATCAACGGGAAGATGTCTATCTAATAGGCAGCTAATTGTCTAAGGAAGAGGAAAATGAGAATTAAAGCATTAGCTAGTAGATGAAGCTATGCCTTGTAGCTACGGATTGAAATTGAACATATCTGTGACTCTTGACAGTGGAAAACCATGAGCCCTTTGATGCTGGTGGGAAGGCCATGGGCATTGCTGAGCAATGAATGTATATGGATGGTTCTACCTGTGACAGGCTGCCAGTGTCTCCTAGTAAGATAACTTCAGGAACAATGTATTGGTTGGTGCACCTCTGTTATATAACAAAGCAAGACATGAATTATATCTCAGGAAATGGATAGAAAATAACTCTCCAAGTCTAATTTACATTTATATTCTCTTGAAATCTGTTAGATTGATTATCTCTGATTTTCTTCCTGTTTCTGAGCCTTGAGCACTGACACAAGGTGAAGTCTTTATGTTTAGCCACCTATACAAATAGGTTTGTTGTTTGTTGTTACTGAATCAACTTCATGACTGGTCTCTCCAACGAATCTCTTCTCATTTTGTAGAAATGAGATCTAGAAAGATAGAGTGAGTTGGCCAGGAAACACCATGTAGGATAGAGACCAAACCAGACTCACCGGGACTGTGCCAGGGTTTCTTCTATCCACCACCCCACTGCCATGCTCACAGAAGGCCTGGGGCCAGAGAGGGCATGAATGGTAGGTGGATACAGGTTGTATCTACCTTGGGATATCCATAGACACCAAGTATTTATTTGTATCATTCTGTGAACAAGAAATAATTTATTTAAATTTTTCATTGGATTGAGCACTGAATAACACAAAATTTATCTGTACCCAAAACTTTTATGGAAGTAGGTTTGAAAAACCTAACAGTGGTTATCTTTGGGGATGAAAGCTAAAAGACAAGTATTTTTCATTTTACTGCTTCCCTTATATACTGTTTGGAATTTATATACCATGGGTGAATGGGGAACAAGAGAAGTGACTCTGACTTTGAGGGCTTTATGGCATCTGAGGACAGTCATCCGTGTGTGATATGAATTGGAAATTATTTTGTCACAAAGTAGCCTTAACATAAACCTTAAAGAGAATAAAGGTTAAAGCACTAATCTAGATTAAGCATGGGGAATTCCAGAGGAGGATCCATCTGCCCTACTTTTCCATGAGACAGAGGCAGTCTTCCTTTAAGGGTATCATCTCAGTCTCCTATAAACGCGTGCACCCAGAAGCCTGGCCTGCTCCTGGTGACCTTGGTGCGCCCTTAGCACCTTTAATTAGGAGTGCTTTTAGAGCAACTTGGACACTAATTACTGAGTGTCCTCTCTACTAGTGGTTGTATTTCATCTGGTTTCAGACCATTTGCTGAATATCTTCAGGTGTACATACACTTTCCCAGTTTTGAAGGTACAGAACAGTGTGATAGAACCTGATGAACAATGTCTGCTAAAGCTTTGTCTCTGCTGTTATCCCTGGAAAGATATATTCTTATCAGGAATATACCGGAGGTGGCCTCCCTATACTGGTCTTTGCCCCCAAGATAAAGGATCACTGAAAAGGAGGATGGGTCTATCAGAATTAGACAGAGATTCTCTGCTTTTTCATCTTTGTAACACCTACTTAATCATTTATTACAATAGCAAGGAATGGGACTGCTACTTTTGTCTGTGTTTGAGAGTTTTTTTTTTTTTTCATTGGAATTCACTTTTATACACATTTTTAAGACCTGGGTTGGCAAGAGTTACAGAATAGTAGAATGATGCTTGTTAAAGATACCATCTTCACTTTTTCAATTCCTTTACTTTCCATACCGAGTCAGCCACTGCAAACAATGCTTCTTTTTCTGTAAAACTGTTATTTTAGGATTCACATGGTGCTCCTGCTTAAGCTGTTATCACTGCCAAATCCCAAAGGGAAGATTTATCTTATTAATTAGAGCCATTAATGTATCTCCAATTCTAACTTCCTAAATTACACTGGGTCATTTCTCTCAGGCCAGCAGGGATACCTTTTGGTAGTTTTGTTATAATTTTAGCTTCCACTCTATTATAATATCCGATATCCCTAGTGTAATTATATTATTGCAAGCAAGTACAAGGTAGGATTGAATTCAGAATGACTTCCATAATGCCAAGCACATACAAGTTGTTCTTGTGGCCCCCAAAAGAGAGATGACTTACTCCTTATTATGTCACTTCTTGCTTAAAACTCTTCCATGGTCTCCTACTACAGTGAGAATACAACCCATATTCCTAATCCTGGCCTCAGCCCTGGCCACATCTGGTCCTGCCTCCCTTTCTGACCTCATCCCTGCTCTCTCCCTCTCACTCACTCTGGTCCAGGCACACTGGCTCTGTTTCCTCCGAATCCCAAGCTGGCTCTGGCCGTCGAGTATGTGTGCTGGCTCTTCTCTTTGCTATTAGGAAAAGTCTCTGCACCAGGTCTTTGCATGCTGACTCCTTGTTTTTCAGGTCTCAGTTCAAGTCTCTACTTCGCAGAGAGGCCTAACTTGACCCCACTCGCCAAGTCCTCATTTCCCCATCAGCATTACTCTGTAACTCCTCTGTGTTTTATTTTTGTTCATAGCTCTTTCCACTATTTGAAATTATCCTGTTTATTTGCTTGACTTTTTGTCTCTACTACAATAAAATATGTATTCAATAAGAACAGGGGGGTGTCTGTTTTCATTCACTGTTGTATCAGTGGAACTTAGAACGGTGGCCTAATGAATGTAGGACGTGATTAATAGTATTTGACTGGCTAAATTACTGGACAGGTGGATGGTTACATAGTGAAATGCTGATTGGGCTGGCAGTGCCACATTCCTAAATATCTAAAAGGCTAAGCTGGGGCAACAGAAGCATGAACAGTGCACAATCAGGGGCAGAAGCAGCAACACTTTCTCTGTTGGAACAGTGCTGGACTCTACAGGTAAGATCTGGATTTGAGATGTGTCAGCAAGGTACACAGATGGATTTCTGCACTGAAATTGCAGCCTGGAGCTCTGCACAAATGAAAAGACTTGAACGAGGGTTTAGCCCTCACAGAGCATCACCAGTATACAGGACTAGGGTCTCCATGGGTAATGGTGACCACAGTAGGGAGAAGGAGAATGAGGTCCACAATGCCAGAAACTGAGGCAGAGGAGACCGGAGGTGCAGAGGGCTGCCCCAGAGTAGGCAAGTTGTTTCCTGCTGCTGCCATTAGTGCTGCTAGTTGATTCTACTCTCTGCTTCACCCAGTTGTGGCTCAGGCCCTTTCTTAACCATCCAGCTGGCAGCAACCACCTCTGAACCTGAAGTCCTGTAGGGGCAGCTGTAAATCAGAGTAAGGTATCTGTAGAACATTCAGAGCAGACTTGGTTAGAACCAGGGTTGAGCACAAGGTGCCGATTTTAATGGTAACTATGCATTTTTCCTAGAATTCTGGACTCTTATAGCTAGGAAGATTGACTAATCTTATTTTTATAATTAAGGAAACACACTCAGGAAGGTTAAGAGGATATTAGAGATTTCTTTTTATTTATTTATTTATTCATTCATTCATTCATTCATTTATTTATTTTTGTGTGTGCTGCAGAGGATGCTGACTTCTCTTGGGGTAGGGAGGGGATTTTTCTATGCTAGCATTTCTCTATTCCGTAGAGACACAGTTTTTTTAGGTTGTAAATTGGTATTATAAAAAATAATTAGATATTAAACAGACACTAATAATGTGAACTATAATGACTAATAGTTATTGAATGTTTTCTGTATTCTAGTTATTGTTCCCAATGATTTGTACTTACTAGGTTGTTTCATTTTCATGACACCATGAGGAATATACAAGGACACTTCAAAAAGCTTATGGAAAACTGGAACTAAAGTATGAGTTTATTTTGGCACAAAACATTCTTAAAATCCATGCATAATTATTTCAAAAAAACACATTTTCCATGAACTTTTTGAAGACCCCTTGCATTATTTCCATTTCACAGGTGCAGACACTGAGCTGGAGAGATGAGCTTGCACAAGCCTGCACGACTAATAAGTGGAGGAACATGAGTATAGAGCCTGGCTCCAGAATCCCTCCCATTCTTAACCATGTTGCCACTTTAATAAGCATAATAAGTTTGGTTAAACAAAGTTATATTTTTTAAACTGCAGGACTTTTCAGAGCCTTTAACATGCTTAAAGGGTAGTGTGACCTTCCTAGTTGAGGAACATAGTAAATACTATTTCCCAAATATCTTGATATTTTCTAGGGCATTTTATGGGACTGATGTTCTGTGGAACACACACATGTTTTTAGTGTTAGTCTTGCTTGTCTTCGTGAGAAGTAGTGCTGCAGTTTTATAGGCTGATAGTCTAGAGAATACTGTTTCTTGCTTTAGTGACTAAATGGTTCTTCTTTTGGTCGGGGGCACCTTGGCCAGAATGGTACAACAGGAACATGATCTGCCTTTGACATTCTTTTGGTACACACTGACTCAGGTCAGAGACCCAGAAGGCCCCTGGCTGAGCACTGCTTTCCTACCCTGCACCTGCTCCCAGTTCTGTTCTGATTGGGTCCATCCACCCTAACACTGTGTGTCTAAGCAGTAGCATGACAAAGGTTTCTGCTAATAAATGGAGCTATGTGGATAAACTCTGCCTCTCTCCTAATTTATGACTTGACTCCCACTGAGAATGCCCAAGGGAGTTTTCCTTGGAAACTATACTCAACTGAGAGATAAGGATGCAATGACCTACAGCCTTAGCTTCTGAGCAGAGGGAACCTTTTCTATTCACTCTTGCACTTTTCCTCATTAACTCTAGCTCCTTACAGCCGCTCCAGGCTGTCCACACTGTGTGCTTGGAATTTTCAAGGATATAGGGCCCCAGAATTTTTTTTCTCTAGTTAGATCTTCTTGTTTTTCAGGTCTCTACAATTATTCTGAATATTGTCACATTTGCCTTTTTAAAATCCTCACGACTCTCACTTCCATTTAAAAGGTGAAGAAAGTATGTAATGTGGGCAGGTTTATATATAACTACCAAGATGTTGGGCTATGTTGTAAACCTAGGTCTTCTGACTGGCTATTTATTCTAGCTCATGACAATTATATTTAAAAAAAAAGGGGGGGGGGACTTCTTTGATAGTCCTGAGTTTTGTATATCTTATTTTTACCATCTGGCAGTAAAAATATCTCATTTACTGATATCATCCTTTAGAGAACTATAACCTTCAAACATGGGAGCAGTGTGTGTTACGTTCATAAGCATTACAGATCTTGGCAAATAAATTGAACATCATAAAATTATGGTTTCATACCTATGCCGTGTGGTTTAATAATATGGTGAAACAGTATAGAAAACAAAAAGCTTCATAGACTTTACCTATTACCACTGATAATTAGAGCTGGCTCACAATATTTCTTCAGCTCTAGATGAATTTGAAATCATGTTCGTGGGGGAAGATGAAGTTATTGAACTATTTTGAATAAGAGACCCATGCACTATTCTAGAGAATAGAATGCTTGGTTATGTTACTTGTGTGTAGCTTGATTTGAATGTTAAGATACTCATTGATAGTTAATAGTTCATCATTTACATGATATAAAAACCATATATTCAACTTCTCAGTTATTCAGAAATTAATAACTTTACAAATAATTCTATCTTGTTACCTTTTTAGTAACTTAATATCTGTATCAGAAGAGAAGAAAACAAGATAAAATGAAAGTTTGTCATTATGCCATTTGTTGGCACCTCCTGTGAAAGCTTTGATGGTGTAGAAGTTTGCAGTAGTGGATTAAGCTTAAGAAGTTTTTTTGGAACCAGCAGTTGGCGTAATGGCTATGTCACTGGACTCCCATGTAGTTGACTGCAGTTCGAGTCCCTGACCCGGTGGCTTAAACTCACACTGGGCGCGTGTGCATGCATGCCCAAGATCCTGAGAGGAGAACGGAGGAGAAGGGATTGTGGTGTGGCCATCTCCCCTGGGGGGTGATTTCTCTCTTTCTGTCTCTCTGTCTCTCTCTGTATGGCGAGCACACACACCCTCTAGCAAAAACTTCTCCAAAAAAAAAGTTTTTTTTAAAAAATGTAATTATTAGGGGCTTCTAGAAATAGGTAGGCAGAGGCCTAAGAATTTTACAAATCAATAACAACAACAAGCTCTAGAGAAGAGAAAGTGAAATTTTTATCTTTGTGCTCTCTTTTTCTGTCTACTTCTAGTACTCTCAGTACATGAATGGATGCCATGTTCATCTCTGCATATATTATATTGGGTCGTCCAAAAAATCATGATGTATTTTAATACACTATGACTTTTCCAATGACCCAATAGTTATTACTTATTAAAGTAATATTATCTCCTGATTGTAAAAAGATGATCACTTTTGTGATAAAAACAGGAAAGTACTGAGAAATGCATAGAAAATTAAAATCATTGAGAATTACTAGTATTGGCATTTTAGAGTAATTCTTGCTAGTATTTTTAATATATGCTTAAACATGCATGTGCATACACACACACACACACACACTCTTTTCTTTTTTATGAGCTAGAAAGAGACTAAAAGAGGTACTTTTTGATAAGGTCTTAGATGTTGCAATTTTGCTCCAGGCCACCCCGTTAACTAGGAGTACAGGTATGTGGAGCTGGCTTATTCGAATTGGGTTTCGAGATGAACCTGGGTCTACCAGTGTGCCGCAGTGGCTGGGCCATGTATTTTGATATAAAATTATCCTCATTGAAGATGCTTTGACTCAGTTATTGGCATTATTTTGCTCTTTCCACTGTTTCATCTTCTAATGTACAGGCAGGCAGTCTTCCAGGGAAGATGAAAGGGTCTTGGTGACTTTACACATAGGCTTCTTTTATTAGGAGTGAGTGGATGGGAAGGGAGGCTGTGAGCTGCTCTACAAGTCTAGAGGCTACTGTAGAAGTAATCAGGAGGCAGCTAGATTTGCACTGAGGTGGGTCGACTCTCGTTGTAATTTCCACTATGCTCTCATGTGGAATGCCAGGGAATTGAGATAGGAGTAGTGTTGGCACCCCAGGTCCTCAGGTATGTTTACCCTCTTTCTTTCCTGTGAAGCCTTTGTCCTTAGTGGGCTGAGATAATCAGGAGTTGAGTGCTAGTCATTATATTTAGGGAATCCAGTCTCAAAGGTAGTGATTACTGCTCTATTTTCAGACTCTCTCTTATACTCAAAACAGATGGCTGAGAATTGCCTTAGTAATTTGGGTGTGAAAAGATACCCGTTCTTCTTTCCATTTTGCCCTTCCCAGGCATTTCGTGGTTTGGGAAAATAAGTAGGTATGTAGTTGAATTTAGCCCTCTAGTCTGAATGATCCCTTCCCTGCCTCCTTGGATACTACTCTACCGTACACTAGAGAGAGCATGGAGGGTGTGGACCGCCAGAGAGCCCCGAGGTTGACCAGACATTTAGCCAGCTCTTGTTGCTTCTGCCTCACATCTTTCATGAGGCTGCTC